CATTTTGGTCTTTGGAGTTGATCAAGTGATATAAAGATTATCACCTGATTTTACTTGTTCATAGAGCTGATTACTTGTGGCGAATTTTCCACTCATCGATAATGCTAGTCTATGATGTCACATCAATCAGCTCTATGATCAAGTGATATCAGGTGATAACCTCTAAATGCATGCATACATGAGCAATTGGACTTAACTATTAATTGGTCACATGGAGAATTACATTTACACACTTGTTCAAGGGGATTGGTGCTTTGTTAAACACCCACGCCCCTAAAACATGTGATTTTTGGAGCTGAGTACCCTGGGCACTAATTTGGATGAGTATTGTACTTTAGTAGATTATCGTGTTAATTGATTGGATAATCTGGTTGCTGTTTACCAAATCAAATATCAAAATATGTCTGTTCCTACATACAAAGTTGATTTTGTCGCTGAATGAGTTGTTGTTGTTGTTGTTGTTGTTGTTGTTAAATCACTGTTCTATTGTTTGTATAGAAACTGAAAGGTGCAGAGAATACAATCACTGAACATGCTGATACCATGGAAACATTCAAGAATGAAATTGAGCGTTTGAAACAGTTGTTGGAAGAACATAAATTGGTGGAGGTCAAGCTCAAAGCAGAATTGGAACATGCCAAGTCACAGTTCTTAGACATGCAGCGCTCTGAGAGACTGGGAAAGGTTGACATGGAACAAGTACAGAAAAGAGTAAGGCAATATTTTATAGTGGATATAGTGGTTTGTATTTTGGTGACACACAACGACACCATTATAATAATAATTTCATTGCATCATTATAAAAATAAAATAAAGCAATAAAAAACAGGCAAAAACAATAAAATAAAATTATTTGTTGATAAGATTACGTTTGAACACTATTTGAATCAGTGGTTCATATCCTAAATCTGTGTATTAAGCAATTCTATTTTGTCTGCCTATGTTTTGTCTGCCTATGTTTATCTGGCTATGTTTATCTGCCTATGTTTGTCTGCCTATGTTTATCTGCCTATCTTTTGTCGGCCTATCTTTTGTCTGCTTTTCTGAAAATTTAAATATCATATATGGTGATGAAAGTTCGGGCAGAATAACTATTTTTAATATAAATGATATTTAATATCATTTTTACAAAATTATATTTTCAGCATGTTCTGAGAATGATTTTTTCATTTATTACAAAGTGTGCATGTGACTTTAATTGATTTCATCTAATATTCAGATGTTGTTACTTTCAGTTGGAGAGATTCAGAAATCGTGTTGTTCAGCAGACTTTCTGTGCACCAGGAATCAAGGCTCCTGACAACACAGATAAAGTCTCTGATGATGAACTCATTGATACTATCAAACTGTTAATCGATGATCGCAGTGAAGCACGTAACAAAGTCCGAGAACTGAAAGACACTCTGAAAATACATGATACAGCAAAGAAGGATTCAAGTAAGAGTATGAAATCAATGAAACAGCATCTAGAAGCAGCAAAGGTAAATCTATATAAAGTAATTTGTGTATCAGTCATTACAGTAATGATTGGAATTGACTGCAATGAATACACTGAATCTGTTATAGTAGTTGATCCAAATTTACCAATGAAATTAAAGAATTTATACTTTATTTTAGCTGGAATTTCAGTCTTTTGTATGCAAATTATTTTCACTTATTTATTTCTTTTTGATGAGTTGCATGTAAAATATAGAAAAAACAAATATTCACTAGATGTTATTTTCACTGAATCATTTCTTCAGTGGAAATAGCGAAAATAAAGTATTTGTCAGTATATGACCTAACAAAAAAATTTATATCTGATATGGAGCAGTTTGAGCCAAATTAAAATTTTGCACTACTGAGCATATTCCTGCATATGTGTTCACATTATGAGATAAGTATTTCTATTGTATACAGTGGGAAACTATTATTATACTAAAACTCACTTTCTATACATGTAATTAAATTTAACAAGTAGAATATGAATGATGTTTTAATAATATCACTTTTTCATGTCACTGAACAAAATTTTGATAACTTAAGAAATATTTTCGCCATAGAAACCAATGCAAAAATTAAATCTCTTTTTCTTGAAAAATTGTCTAATGAAACCATAACGAAAACATTATACTCTTCATGTACTGGAACATTCTTAAGATTTGTTATAATGAAATGTACTTGTGTTTATTTCAGACTCGTTTACAGGGTAATCGTAACTCTAATATTATAAAACAAGAATTAAAACTGTTACAATCCGTAA